AGTCATAGTGGTCAGAAGGATTTCATAAAGTCCAACTCCGGTCTACACGTTTTATCTAGTTTTGGATAAAGCAAGGAAGGGTTAAAGCTTAAAGGAGAACTATGAGGTGAGTGCTTTTCCCTCACCTCATAGTTCTAGCCGACAAAGTATACCGGTATACTGAGCTTAGGGTGACGGGAGGACGCTAGTTTGTGTCCTCCCGTTACCCTAAGGAGAACTATGGGGAAAAACACTGACCCCATAGTTCTCCTTTAACTGTGGTCGTCCCTTCAACTTTGCAGATTAAAACTAACACATTTTTAGTAAAGTGGAGAACGGTTAGAACTTCTGACAATGTTTTTATTCCTGTCTGTGCCTTCCTGCCCCAGTGCCATCCTCTCTTCCCGTTTCCTGCCCTGGTATCTTAGGGACAGGAAGTGAGGAATAATCTCCCCAAGGAGGTCAAAGTCTTAGCTCAGCAGTTTCTAATTAGGAAGCAGAATGACATCACTGAGAGCGTCTTCTAGTGGCTCATCTACAAATCTCTACATTTATAGTGGTGTCTGCTGCAGGGGCAGGAAGTGATAGAAAGTCTCCCCAATGGGATCACAGGCAGGAATATAAAAACCCAAAAAATACTTCAATTCTAACTTGCTACATCCAAAACTTTCACAAATTGGCTGGCGCTTTAGGGTACTTCTCAAGACAAAAAAAATTACATCGGCTTTTGGCGAGTTATCTTTGAAGGTGCAGGTTCCTGGGCTGGCACCGCTAGTAGCAAGTCACCGACCGAGAACAAGTATGTGCACATCAGGTTTCCTGTCACCACACTATGTGCATGTGTTTTCTTGGCCAGTGACTCATGAAGTAAGAAGGTATGACAGCCCCAAAGTCTCCACCTGAGAAAGCAGCTCAGCAATGGCAGCTTCCTTATTTCCAATAGGCTCCCTTTAACAAGTGAAACAAATGGCAAACGCACTCATTAATGCACAACTAGCTTTAAAGTAAGGTGCCCGTGGAATGCTTTACGTAGTACAAAAGCAAACATTTCCCAGCACACTTACCAGCTAGCAGCAATGTAGCCGGGTCTCTCATTAGATCCCTTGGCAGTACAGGGCAGTGAGAAATGCCATCTTATGGCAACGCTACTTCATCTACTAGTTACTGCAAACTGAGAGTGATCACAAGCTGGGAGCCAATACGTCTGGCTCTCGGTCTTCTCGTTATCATCTTGGCCCATAGACGTGAGATGTTGGCTGACGACAGCTGTCTCACCATCATCCTTCCAACACGCATGGTCACTTTGGCCTAACCTTTAAACCCCAGGCCCTCACGTTATATGGCGGAGAACAGAAATCAGTCGGGACAATCCATTTCAGAAGATTGATTTGTCCTTCTGAGATCAGGTGGCCATGGGGTGTTCCCCAAGAAAACCATAATGGATCAGATCGGCTGACAAGAATCTCATGCCTATGGGTATCCTTAGTAACAGCCTGGTTAGCTAAATATAAGCAGACATGTAGGGATGCAGATACCAAGGTCTCATACTCGGTCCAAGTACATGTACAGATACTTTTCCAGCTCCAAGACTAGACTAGAGAAAAACTCAAAAGTTAGGAGGCAGCTGTCATGTGTAAGGAGCACACGGAGCTCCCGGGATTTGTACATCTCTGTTTTAATGTACGATTTGTTTTATATACATATATTACGGATGCACCGATACCAGTTTTTCCAGACCAAGTACAAGTACCGATACCTGTCCAAGTCCCCACAGATACCAAGTACTGATACATTTTTGTTTAGTGTCATGTGACAGCGTTTCTAAAACAACAGACAAATTACAGATTTCAGGTCAGTGGTGGAGTGTCAAAGGTCCAGTCGCAGCAGCAACCCTGGTAGTTTTCATGAAAATGCCAAGTATCGGCACTAGGGATGCTCCGATACCAGTATTTCGGTATCGAGTACCGATATTCTTTTTTTCGGTACTCGCCGTTACCGAATACCAGAAGTCCCATTCAGGAAGCCAGGCGGTGTGTAATGACTCGCCACCTGGCTTCCTGATAAGCCGGGCTGCGTGTAAAGACTCGCCACCTGGCTTCCCGATTAGCAGGGAAGCCATCCCCATGGTTCTCCTCACTAGGTGACGAGAAAGCATGGAGCCGGCTTTCTGGCCAATCAGGAAGCCGGGTGCTGTGTAATGACGCGGCACCCGGCTTCCTGATTCGCAGGGAAGCCGGCTCCATGCTCCCTCATCATGAGGGAAAAGGGGAAGCATGAAGCCGGTTTCCCGACCAATCAGAAAGCCGGGCACCGCATCATTACATGGCGCCTGGCTTTCTGTTTGGCCTGCTTCCGGCCAATCAGGAAGCCGGGCAGCGTGTAATGGCACGCTGCCTGGCTTCCTGATCCTGGAAGCTCAAGTATCAGGCTAGGCATCGGAGCATTTGGGCGCCCAAATACTCGGCATCGGCACGGATACTAATATCAGTATCGGTGCATCCCTAATTGGCACTGGTATCTGTGCATCCCTACAAACATGTGTATGAACGCATGCATGGAAGCAGTTTTTTAAAGGAGAACTTAGGGCACAAAAAAGAACCCGCCAGGAACCTGACATGTTGTTAGGTAAGAAAATGTGTTTTTCTTTTTTGAATGTAAGCTTATTTTTGTAAATTGTGAGCAAAGAGCCTTTGCTGAGCATTTCAATGTAGTTCCCGGCAAGGGAAGGTACATTTACAACCTGGCACTTGCTAGATGAGGGGAGAGACCAACGTTGGGTTGAAGAGTGAAAAAAGACACAATGTTATCTGAGATCGGGTGCGTTGCCTGCTACAGGCTCAAAACTTTTTGAAAAACTCAAATACATATTTACAGCTGAATGTCCTATATGGCCTCGTTCAAATGCAAATGTAGATCTATAGTATCGGAAGGCCTTGGTCTACCCTTAGCGGTAAGTTGTGAAGGCAATGGGAGAGGTTAAAAAGACAGAGCTGCCGCTTCATCCCTACCAATGCTAAACAGAAGGTAACAAATGCACACAAATTAATAAATAGTTATATGGTCATTAGCATAAACAAACACAGAGTATTATAAAAATAAATACCACTTTAAAGTCATTTTTCAGTCTATAGACTCAATAGAACAGTTGACGTTAGGAGTTACAGAAACTGTTGCCGAAGATCAAAGAAATCTTCCAAGTTTGGCTAAAACTGGACCCCTGCGCAAAGGCCACACCATACAGAGAAGTCTTTGCTTCTCACACGGGCCCGCTTTTTCCTGCATTAGAACCCACGCTCTTGGATTACGCCTAACGCACCACATGCAGACAATGCCTCACACTACAGCCAAACCATACCGATATCTGTGACCTCTCCGACCACTCTGAGATAAGGATCGCTGCTATTATCTACGAGGTTGGTGCAAGGATGTGGATCTCTCCAGTATAATGTACAGACTCATTTTTAAAGTGGAGAATCCCTTTAAACCTTTGGGCGCCTCCGTAACAAAGAAGCAGATATACTGAGGCGTGAGGCAATTGTTCATCGATCCAGCGCCAAGTCTAAAGGATTAGGAACTGACATCATTTCCTTGTTCCACGGATCACTGGTAGTCTGGCTGCATCCTCAACACTGTTGGGGCAGCATACAAAATGGCTGCCAAATGGAGGACAAGCCCTACATACACTTTCAACGGCCATCCAAGTGCTTTTTGTTCCATTCTATGCAGACATTCCTTTAGGCAAGAGCTTTAAAATCACCAAAGTGCTTCCCATTTCACAACACCATTTTAGACTCTATGGACATCAAACCCATCATGGAATCCATTAAAAAAAGAGATCAAACCACTATTTTAGTTTCTGGGTGGAACATAAAGACAGAGGTAAAGATACTTAACCTCCATGCCCCAATTTCTCAGCGACAGTGTGCTGAAGTTGCCCCCATGATCGGCTAGTGTCAGTGCTACAGCCTCCTGCAGCTGTAAGAGTGTTTCAAGCCCTTTGAAATCAGTGGGCTCAATACTAGGGATGCACCGATACCGATACTAGTATCGGTGCCAAGTACTCGTACTCGCCCAAATGCTCCGATGCCTAGCCCGATACTTCCTGTATCAGGAAGCTGGACAGCACGTCATTACACGCTGCCCGGCTTCCTAATTGGCCGTGAAGCCGGCTCCATCGTCACTTTTGATGAGAGAGCATCGAGCCGGCTTCCTGGCTAATCAGGAAGCCGGGCACCGCGTCATTACACGGCACCTGGCTTCCTGATTGGCCAGAAAGCCGGTTCCATGCTTCCGCGTCACAGTGACAGCTTCCCTGCTAATCAGGAAGCAGGATGGCGAGTCTTTACACACCGCCCGGCTAATCAGGAAGCCAGGTGGCGAGTCATTACACGCCGCCTGGCTTCCTTAATGAACTTCCGGCATCGGTATCAGCGAGTACCTTAAAAAAAATATCGGCACTCGTACTCGATACTGAAATACAGGTATCGGTGCATCTCTACTCAATACACTATCATGTAACCGGCATCTGTGGGAAAAAGTATCAGCTGATCATTGGTGAGGCCTCAGTTTGCTGTAGCTGAGGAACGATATAGCAGAGACATTGCTCCGCATACTTCCGGTCATTGTTAATGTGCACTCAAAACCTAAAAAAAATGGTTTTGGGTTGAGCTCTTGCTCAGCTTATCTGCATAACCGGGGGCCACAAACTATTCGTGGCAACAGATTTGAGAAAAACAAAATTAAGAACAGGTGGCCCTCTACAGTTCTTGTATTGGGCCACCTCTTTTCAGAAAATTCTTACTCTTTCTACAGTAATATTGTCCAATACCATTGTAATATAACACACATATAGCCTATGTTGGCTACCAGTGATGTCAACCAGATTGTTCAGTGACTACCTGAAAAGCACAACGCTCTTTTCCTAAGGTAGCATCTTCGAAAACACAATTTTGGAAGGTCTACTACTGGTCAAGTATTGCTCTTTTGCCACGTTGTTCAGCCTACCATATTCGTGGCAGATTTTTTTGCTTTGTCACTACTTATCCTGCTGTGTGTAGACAGCATTTCTCTCAGGCTCTGTACCTGGGCTGCGAGCATCCATTAACTCGTGGTTTGGTCTCCAGCAGAACTGCACTCCGTGGTGAGAAGCGCTAACCTTGGAGTGCTGCTTCTTGTGGACAGAAAGGTAACCCTGATGGAGGAAGCTGTCTCCACATTCCAAGCAGCTGTACAAAGGCTGCAGGTCATGTGACTTCTGGTGAGCGACCAGATTAGACATGAGGTTATAGCGCCTGGGGCATTCGGTGCACTTGTATGTACGCTTGCCGCGGGGTATGACTCCTTTTTCCCTTGCTGTGTCGGTCGATTCAGTCTTACGGGGTCGGCCTCTTGCCCTGGGCACGGCATACTCTGCGGTTTGACTATCATCAATGGCAATGCCTTGCCCTATGTGACTTTTTAAATGGTACAAAAGGTTTGACTGCTGGCGGAACCGCTTGCCGCAGCACTGGCATGAATAGGGCATTTCTCCAGTATGAGTACGCAAGTGGATCATTAGGCTGGTACGCTGACTGAACTGGCGGTTGCACTCATGGCAGTGGTACGTACGCTCTCCGGAATGGATCCTCTGGTGAACTAAGAGATTTGATTGGTGAGTGAATGTTTTGTCGCAAGCAGGACAGTGGTACTCGGCTTTTCCAACCTCCAGTAAGGTGGTATCATTTTTAGGACTAGCTTCCAAATGCACCCAGGTAGGTGGAGGCCCAGGGGAAGCCTCCATGTTGGAGCTCATACTAGCCTCGACCGCCGGCTCTAGCCTAGGAATTATTGGTGAACTTGGCATGTTCTCTGGTGTGCAATTGAGCTGCCCTTGAACCGTGTTTGTCTTTATATGATAAAGTAGATTAGACTGCTGCCGGAAACGTCTCCGGCACTGAAGGCAAGAGTATGGCATCTCCCCCGTATGAGTTCTTAAATGTACCATCAGGCTGGTGCGCTGGCTAAAGTGCTTGCCGCATTCCAGGCAACGGTAAGTTTTATCTCCTGAGTGGATGCGCTCGTGGACCAAAAGGTTGGATTTGTGGTTAAATGTTTTAAAGCAGCTGCTGCACTTGTATGTCCTTTCTGCTGATGTTGGTGAGTCACTGGGGTCTAGATTGTTAGCTATACAGTCCGTACTAGATGGTATATCACCTAGCTGAATGGTTTGAGGTGCCTCGTAGAGCTGACCGTTGTGATGCATGGGGCTTCCATCGAAAGGAAGGAAACTTAAACGAGGCTGGGCCATGCCTGAAGACTGAAGCAAGCCTACAGCCTGAACATGTTTTCCATTTGGATGTTCTTTATTTAAGATTTTCCTTGGACGAGGTATAAGATCGTCTCCGAGAACATCTTCGTGGTTCTTGAGGTGCTGAATCAAATTCGACTGCTGTCGAAATCTCTTCTCGCAGAGCCAACACTGAAAAGGCTTCTCCCCGGTATGAATACGCAAGTGAACGATTAAATTTGATTTGTTGTTGAAATAACGAGGGCACTTCCAACACTTGTGTATGGATTTCGCACCCAAGAATGCTCCCATCTGACCATGGCCCTGCCCTAGCAAGCTTATTTTTCTTGGTCTTCCTCTTCCTAGAACATGGTAAGGCCCTTTAACAGATGTTCCCTCTGAACTGTGACTCGCGACTCTCTGGAAACCAGAGCTATGACCTGGCTGAGGAATAAGGTTAGATTCTAGACTGTTCAGTGTCCCCACGGCACTGTTGCCCTCTGTTCGGGGTGATAGCTTGAATGGTTGCAGTGGGTAACCTTCGTGTTCTTGGCGAGATAACAGCAAGTTTTCAGTGTATGTATGTGGAAGGCCCCTATTAATGGGACACGGGACCTGTATTTCTCTACGATGCATGACAGTGCTAGGTTGGTCCACATGAAGCTTTTGGTGCAGCAGAAGGCTGTGCGAACTTGGGAACCATTTTGCACATTGAGTACACTGAAAGGCTCTAACTTGGCTTTCTTCAATTCTCCCTCCACCACTATTTAATAATTGGGGATTCTCTCGCTCTACATACTGTCCAGATGGCCCTATTAGCTGCCCGGAGAGCTTCTGTTCATGCTCTGCAGAGGGGTCCTCTTTAGGTTCAATTGGCATTACATGACTTTTCATATGGTAGAGGAGGTTCGACTGTTGGCGAAAACTCTTTCCACACTGTACACACGAGTAAGGCATTTCTCCTGTATGGCCCCGGAGATGGACCATCAAGCTGGTCCGTCTGGTGAAATGTTTGCCACATTCTTGGCAGCGGTAAGATCGGTCTCCTGTGTGGATGCGTTGGTGGACCATGAGATTGGACTGATGCGTAAATCGTTTGAAGCAATGCCCGCAAACATAAGGTCTTTTACAGGAGCCAGGATCTTCTCCTTTATCTCCCTTAATAAAGGGAACTTTGCTGCCCCATACTTCGCTGCTACTGTCGTCCGCTTCAGATATCAGATACATGAATGGAATACCGGGAGCTGTGTTCTCTTCACTCCACTCAGCTCCATCAACGTCTTCAGATCTCTGATGACTCTTCATGTGGTGGGTGAGATTGGACTGTTGTCGAAAGCTTCTGTTACACTTGTTACAAGGAAATGGCGCCTCCCCTGTGTGGGTACGTAAGTGGACAGTTAGACTTGTACGCTGGTTAAACTTTCTCCTGCATACGTGACAAGAAAATGGTTTCTCACCAGTATGTATACGCAAGTGTGTGACCAGCGAGGACTGCTTGCAGAACGTTTTATCGCACACTATGCAGCGGTATCTCCTCCACTCCAACACGGGCTGTTGTTGCTGTTGAGCATCAGGGCGGGAAACTTCATTTCCGATGCCCTGGAACTTCTCCTGATTATGGGTTTCTTGGTGTTGCAGAAGTTCAGAAAGGTCCTGAAAAACAAAATTGCAGAAGGAGCACTGAAAGAGACCCCAGAACCTCTGGTTTGGCTGTTCTGCTGGTTCGTTATCTTTTCTTCTACTTGTCTCCATAGTCTTGCTTTGATGGCCAACGTTGGACCATCCGTGAGGCCTGGAAGCTACCACCTCGCCTTTTTCAGGTTTACCAAAATTGCTTGGCATTGGAGAAACCCCATGAAGAACCAATGGTGCGCTAACATCCTCCCCTGTTCCAGTAATCTTTGCACCTTGCGCTGCTTGCTCCACAATGTCCTCTTCTCTGCTTCTTGTCTTCTCCAAGAGAGGCAGGGATGCCGGTGAGCTTGGTTCAGCCGGGAAACTATATTCCACCGAACCACTGTCTGTCTGGCATACCGGCTCACTGGAAACGATTGGATGGACTGTTTTCTCCCGCCAATGGTTGTCTTGGTCATCAATTTCATTCACAATAAGTGTGGTTTGTGTGTTTTGTGACGTGGATTGGTCTTCGGGTATCTTTCCAACAAGCGGAGCAAACGACCTCGGTTCTTCTGTTCTTCCGCTAGGCCAACATTCTGAAACTATATAAGAAAAAATAGTTATAAGTGAACATTTCTTGTTATTTACATGAAAGCAGATAATACAACATTAACCCCTTAAGTACCAAGGCATTTTTTGTTTCAATTTTATAATCCAAATTTTTGGACTGAAAATTACTTCAAACCCCCAAACATTATATATTTTCTGAAAGCCAAGACCAGATCCTGTAAAATACAATGGTGGCAGTTACAACTTTTTATGTTGCACGATAAAAGCGCAACTTATTATTAAGCGCAAACATTTAGTGAAACATGCACTTAAGTTACATTTAGTGCCCCAAAACACTATATAAAGCCCTTTTTTGGGTAAAATATAAAAGATGAGGTTACAACAACGATTAAATAGATACCCAACATGCCCAGGTTAAAAATTGTGTGCGTCCATGAAACTGCAACAAAATTCAGCACCCCCAAAAAGTCCATACACGACGCTTTAAAACCCCCCACAGGTCATCAGTTCAGTGATACGTGTAAATTTTGACCCTAGAATTACTTCTCTTACTCTGGTGTGTGCGGCGACACCCAACCTGTGTAGCGCAATCGTCGTTTTCATACGTAGGCGCACTCAACCGTTACATTCATTTTATTTAATATTTTTTTAAACGTAAGACCCCTAATGTCACCTGGAGACCCCCAAAGAAACTGATGAAGCAGAGATCTGCTTCACCAGCTTCTTCTCTGGCTTTAGCAGCCAGAGAAATGAGAGCTGAATGCGGAAGTAATGTATTACACATCACTTCCGCATTCAGACGTCGGAGGGAGATCAGCAAGGACGAAGATGCTGATCTCCCTCCCATCTTCCTCCTGACACCCTCCCGAGCCGGTCCCGGGCTGCAGATGGGGCATTGAAGGTGAGGGTGCAGGAGGGGGGGACACAGCGGGACGGATGCACCCCGGGAGGGTATAGAGCCGCCGATCACTTGTATGTGAAACACCGGTAGCGGCTGTTTACAGTGGACAGTTTTTTTCTGCCCGTGCCGACGCGCGCGCCCACCTAGCTAGGGGGCGCGCACGAGCAGAAAAAAAATGGGAGTTTGCCGTCCGTTTTTTTTTACAACAGGCGGATGGCAAGCAGTGAAGGACCCATGACGGAATAATACCCTCATGGGTCGTTAAGGGGTTAAAGATTAAACTCAAAAAGTTTTGCATTGTCAACAAGAAAAGCTGGAAAACCTCTACAATAATGCAAAGCTGAGCGCTCCATCCTATCCTTTCTTCATGAGATGTGAAGGACCAGGAACATCTCCATTTACATGGAGAGTCTCCAATTCTAATAGTCAGTTGCTCATTATTGCCCTCTAGGGGGGTCAAACACAACCCAAATGTCAAAAGCCGCGCTCAATTTCGTATCACCGCTGCTGGATATTGTATTTTTGTTATGGACAATTTAAGAACACAAAAATAAACACCAATCCGTGATGAGTTTAATACAAGATTACAGATAAACATAGGAAACACAGGACATCTTTACAACTTTGTAAGAGAAATCCTTACTTTCCACGCGGCTTGCTCTGGCTTGATTGTTTTCCTGCCCAAACGGCTCGTCTACATTTTCCATTATCGATAAAACGTCCGGTTTAGACATCGGGAAACCTGAGGGACAGAGAACACAAGTTGGGAACTATCCCTTAAGGGAGTATTGTATCTTCTCTATTGGTCCTTCAGCAAGGTAGTTGTTTTTGCCCTGTAGCCAAACTCCGGCCCTCCAGCTGTGGTGACACTACAAATCCCAGGATGCATCTCTCTCCGGGAGTCATGTATGTGGCTGTGAGAATCTTGCAATGCCTCATGGGATTTGTAGTTCCACTACAGCTGGAGGGCAGGAGTTTGGCTATCCCCTGATCTATACAGATGACAATCAATAGCGCGTCAGGTCTGGAATGATAGTAAATAATAGCCAGGTATCTTTGCACCCCCCAAATCCACCCAAAAACAAGATCGGGTCAAGTAGATCTAAACCCAAATTGGATCAGATTTAGTTTGCTAACGTACTTTGTATTATAAGCCGGTGTCATGTATTTTTTTCTCTCGATAAAATACAGTTTTTACTTTTTTCATCCTTTTTGCTGAAGTTCTCCGGCATTTTTTCATCCACTTTCTGCCTAAACGCAGGTTATCCAGTGCCGACTGCACATCAACAGCTTGGACAAGTTTACTTATAGTGGCGATCGTGGACCATGCCTGAGCAATGTATGTTGGCTCCCGCAGAATGACAACAGTAAATGGGCGGAGCTGGGAACCTAACTTGCAGAGACATCATCTTTTAAAGGGTAATTCCACTTTCCCAGGTGAATTTGGGAACATGGAATTACCCCCTCTCCCACCCTCTGCTATACTTACCTTTGGGCGAACGCTCCTTCCCCTCCGCCAATGCCGGTGTACTATCCGTACTGTGTAGCGCAGCCCTGCGGTCTGTATTTTAAATTACAAACGGCAAGCAGTCACTAGTTAGCGTGGTCCCATGACCACACTGACCAATGAAAAGCACGTCTGACCGCGCTGACAAATGTGAAGCGTTTCTTGCTAAGAAGCGCTTCTCATTGGTCAGTGCGGCCAGGTGACCATGCTGACCAATGAGTGCTCGCTATTTGCAAGCGAAATTCCACATACAGAGCACTGGGCTGCGCTACACAGCAGTACGGGGTACAGACAGTACACCGGCACCAGCAGAGGGGAAGGAGAGTTCAGACAAAGGTAAATAAAGCAGAGGGTAAGGGTAGAAAGGGCCAGATTGGAAGGGGTAATTCCATTTCCCCAAATTCACCTGGGAAAGTGGAAATACCCTTTAAAGAAGAACTCCAGTTTTTTTTTAAAGTTAACCCTTGCAGTGCGGGGTTACCTGCTCGTTTAGGTCTAGGGTCCGGAGTACAGAACATACACTCACCTGACCCTCGGTCCTGCGGCAGCGAGTGCTCCCTTCTCTCACCCTTCGCTCCAGCGGTGGTATTTTCCTCAGAATCCATGCAGTCCTTTCACCTGCATTAGACTTGATAACGTCAGTAGGCCGGCGCCCAGGGGAGAAAAGGCTGCAGGGACCAGTCCAGCAGCCAGAGGGGATCGAGGATGAGAAGAGTTTATTTTTTATTTGAGCCCCTAGACCAAAACAAGCAGTTAACCCTTGCGGGGGTGTAGCCCACTGCAAAGGTTAACTTTCTTGTTTCCCGGTTCCTCTTTAAGTCGGGGTGGACAAATTAATAGCCTGCCTGTCCAATCCAGCAACATTTTTGAGTGCCAGCTCCATTAACAACTAGATAAAACTGTAAAAGTTGGGCGCCAGTTGTAGATTTTAAGGAGCACTGGCGACCTGGCTCCTGGAGATTGCTCCAGCCCAGTTCTGAGCGATATAAAAAGATAGTGTGATTCATTTGCCGTAGCCAATGCTCAGACAGCAACACATGGACCAGCAATGGGGGTGGGGTTTCCCCCCCAAGCCATGTATATGGTTAACATTCACAATCTCAATACGGAATTCCTTTAAAAGCAAAACAAACCAAAAAAAAAGAAAAGCCTTTGCTGTAATATTGGAAAGCGGCCGTCGTATTGAATGAAAGCCATACTCATGTAATATTATCTAAGCGCTGCAACATGTGTTAGCAATTAGTCTCTTTTTGTAGAATATCCCCTTGCCTTGCCGGTTCCTCCAGGCCAAAATCTGGAACGGGTTTTTATTTAAGTTCTCAGGTTTCCATCTGTTTGATTTTTGGTTTCGCTTTGATTCGTGCCGGAACAGATGATAATTCCTTCTCTATCGCGTGGCAAATGGGAGACGGGGGGCCCTCCTTAGGTATGGAGAACGAATGGCAGATTGGGAAAAAAAACAAATTCCAATCTTGTCAAAGTACACTATATTGCCAAAAGTATTGGGACACCCCTCCGATTCATTGATTCAAGCGTTCCGTGACATTTCCTTGCTACTAAATATTCCACGCTCACCTGTTAGTGGTATTATAACAAAGTGGAAGCAACCGGGAACAACAACTCGTAATTTTGTCAATGGTCACCCTCTATCAGGGGCGTCCCAAGGCAGGGTGTCACCCAGAGCGGGTACCGGGTGACACCCCGCAGTGATGCCATCATCACGCACCCATGTGATGACATCACGCGCTGTTACCTGCTGGTGGCCATCTTGGTGTTGGATGCCGGCAGAGAGAGGAGGGGAAATTCACCCGGCGGCATACCTTATCCCCTCCCTTCTCGAGCAACTGTCTGACTCTCGGTCCATGACTGAGTGCCTGGCTTTTCAGAGGGGGCGACACCAAAATGACTGTCAGTCACTCCCCCCCCCCCCAGGGGATCTGAGGAGAAGCTGGAGCCTGTGCCACCCCTCTTCTCCCTGCTGAGTCGCAGCTGTTTTGGAGCCTGTGCTTGCCATGGCAAGGGGGCGCAGCCAGGCCGGCCCTGGCTGCGCCCCCTCTCAGCTGTGCCTGAGGTGAGTGCCTCACTCGCCCCATGGTAGCTACAGCTTTGCATATATATTTGGGGTGCACTGATACCGTAAATGGCAATATTCTTTCAATACCATTCCTGATTGGTCGGGAAGTCGCCTCCATGGTCCCTCGTCACCAGGGAGCATGGAGGCGGCTTCACGGTCAATCAGGAAGCTGGGGGGCGGGTAATGACTTGCCCCCCGGCTTCCTGTTTGGCCCGGCAAGACTCGCCGCCTGGCTTCCTGATAGGTCGGGATAGCTGGCATGAGCGTGCGTATATATACGCACGCTCATGCCATGGCTGCAAAGCATTGCGTCATGGCCAGTTTTCTATACAGCATGTCACATTTGGCAGGTAGTCCCCCCATGCAATTATTAAAATGCCTGGATGGGCGGGTGTCAGATTGATGGAGTGCGCGCTCCTAAGCATAGGGGAAGGGTTAAATAAAACAAACTTTATTATTTATAGCTGCTGCAGCTTGTTTTTGCTAGGTACGGCCTTGCGGTGAGGAGCGAGAGAGCCGCTCGGCCAGGATCTGACAGCCGCCGGCTCTTTCTCTCCTCACTGCCCGGCCACCCTGAAGTGACGGCGCTCCCTCCTCCTCCCTTCCATCCTGGAGGCGGGGGGGGGGGTGTCACAT